GCCAAAGCTCCCCTGCCCTTGGTGTTCTTGGCTTTGTTGAGCTATAAGACCCAAGTCAAAGCAATGGGCAGTACAGGCTGGCAGACTCCAAAACCTTGATCTCTCTTGCTACCTACTCAACACTGGGATGCTCCTTGTAGGATCTCCCCATAAGCCAGCTGATCATACTCTTATTTAAGGATGGTAAGAACCACGTGCTCTTCCCTTTTAAACCTGGGAAATCCAATCTACTGTGATGAGATCCACACAGAAAGAAACCTGCAGCCAGCACTGGTTCACCAACCCCAGTGAAGCGTGCTGGAGGGGGCTCATCCAGCCCCAGCTGAGTCTCATCCACATGGGGCAGAAACAAGGTAGCCCTGCCAACCCCTGCTCAGATTTCAGATTCCTGAGCAGAATAAATGGTGGCCATTGTTTCAAGGCAGGTGTGTTTGGGTCTGGTCTGATACGCAGCAATAGGTACCCGTAACATACAGATTCATTTGGGACTGAGTCCAAAGATTAGAGGAGACCTAGGAGGCTTTGTGAAGTGACCACTGCTGTTGGGGATAAAGGGCTGTGTAAGGAAAGTTCTGATGGTCACAACAAAGATAGATGGTGGGGAGCAGGCTTCGAGCACTGGGGAGAGGAGGGAAGGCAATGGCTACGTGGTTGTTTGCACCTGCCAAGGCTGGGGAAGGACAAAGCTCTCCGTATCTCTTTTGAGTCCTGTGCATGATGAGGCTTATCTTTGCATTCACGTGCCGTAATGCAATTTATTTTCTTCTGGAGGCAGTAGGGGTCAAGATCAGGATCTTTCACATGCTAGGCAAGCACTCTCCCACTGAGCTACGTCCTCATACCCTTCTAAATTTTTTTAAATGTTTATTTTTATATGTATGAGTGTTTTACATGCATGAAATGCCCAAAGAGGAGAGAAGAGGGCGTTGGATCCCCAGGAACTGGAATTATGGATGGTTGTTAGCTGCTGTATGGGTGCTGGGAACCAAACCTCGGTCCTCAGCAAAAGCAACGAGTACTCTTAACCACTGAGGCATCTCTCTAGCCCCCTTTTGAATTTTTTAAATCAAAGTCTCCCTATGCAGCTGAGGCTGGCCTCAAACTCAAAATCCTCCTGCCTCAGCCACTAAAGGAGCTGGGATCATGGGGATTTGCTACCATACCCCACTGTGATATAATTTATTTTAATGAGAGGAGTGCAGTTAGAAATAGTAGATGGGCAGAAAATTCTTTGGTGATGTTTTGCTCTATGAGGGACCATAGAAAAGAGAGTAAGTGGAGAGGCCTGAAGGAGCCGGACTTCATGTTTATCTGTAGACAGGATTATTATAATATATCTGTGTGCTGACAGGAATGTCCCAGCCCAAGACAGAAGGAATACAAAGTAAGAAGAAAAATAAAAGGGGTGCAAACTAGACAGTGACAAGGGCCTACTGTAACCCCAGCATTCCAAGGCTGAGGAGGAAGACTCTAAGTTCAAGTCCAGTCTGGTCTACATAGAAAGTTCAAGGCTAGCCAGGGATACACAAAAAGATCCGTCTCAAAAATACTATATGGGGGAAGAGAGTAGTAAAAGCTGTACTTAAAACTCAGATTGCTTTAAAAACAAACCGCCACACCCCACTGCTGAGGGAACAAGTGCTTCTCAGCTTTGGGGCTGCAAGGCGTACTGTGGCCACAGGAACAACCTGCTCTTCTCCAACACTTCCCTCTATTGTCCTTGACCTCGTTCTTGCAAATTAGTCCCTAGTGTATACAAAATATTGTAGACTGCGATCTCATTTTTAAAATATTTATATAGACAGTTGACTAGAATCTATAAAACGCTTTCCTACTTCAAGAAATACTGAGCCAAGTTCAAGTCCCTAAAAATAAAATTTTAAAATAGACTAGACTAGCAGATGGGGCTAGAGAGATGGCTCAGCAGTTAAGAGTATGGCTGCTGTTACAGGGGACCCAGGTTCAGTTCCCAACACCCTAAGGCAGCTAACAACCAACTGTAGCTCTAGTTCCAGGGGATCAGACTCTCTCTTCCGGCCTCCATGGGCATTGCACATACATGGGGCACTTGCATACATGCAAGCAAAACACTCATACAACTACAATAAAAAATAAAATTTTTATGTAAGAGCCGGAGGAAGGCGGAGTAACTGAAAATGTCTTCTGACCACTATGCCAGCAAGCTATAGTCACACCTGCTTCCCGCTCTCATCGAGGAGTCAAGGGGGGGGGGGAATCAGTTACCCCTCCCACCCAATCAGTCGACCTTAGCTGCCTGTGGGGGGAGGGGCAAAGGATATACAAGCCGAGAACACCAAGAGGCACCTCTCTCACCATTTTGTGGCACTGTTGGGAAGTCACAGGATCTGTATTTGAGTGTGGACTTTATGGAACAGCCATAAATGTGGGCACCCATCTTCTGTAAATAAACCACTACCCTATGCTCTGTTAAAAAATAAAATAAAATAATAAAATGAATTAATTATTTTTAAAAACCAGACTGGCAACAGCCCCCACCACACTCGTGTGCAGGGTGAGGTCTGCTGCCTTCAGTAGGATTGGACATGACCCAGAAGCTGAAGGACTTGGCAGGACCTCGGAGCACGGGCATGGCACTGAAGCTCCTCCTGGGCAGGTGCCGTGGCTTGTGGCGTCCATGAATCCGTGTTCAGGTGGAAGGTGGTCACAGAGCCTGTGGCGTCCATGAATCCGTGTTCAGGTGGAAGGTGGTCACAGAGCCATCTTTTTTAATTGAATCGGTGGCGTGCAACAGGACACCATCCTGGCCGAGGGCCTTCCCTTCAGGATCCCCTGGCTCCAGTACCCCATCATCTATGACATTTGGACCAGATCCCGGAAACTATCCTCACCCACAGGCTCCAAAGACCTGCAGATGGTGACTGTCTCCCTGCATGTGCTGTCTCGACCCAGTGCCCAGGAGCTCCTGGGCACACACCAGCGCCTAGGGCGACAGTGCTGCCGTCCACTGTCCATGAGGTGCTCAAGAGGGTTGCAGCCAAGCTCAGTGCCTCGCAGCTGGTCACCCGGCGGGCCTGGTGTCCCTGTTGATCCAGAGGGAGCTCACAGAGCGACTCAAGGACTTCAGCCTCACCCTGGATGATGCAGCTATCACAGAGCCTGGTGGCAGGAGCTGGAGCACAGGCCATGGAGGAACGCGGCTTACTGACTTGCTCCCTGGCCCCTGCTCAGCCTGCTTTCTTATGCAACACAGGCCCACGGCCCAGGGATGGCACCACCCACAGTGGGCTGGGTCCTCCCACATCACTCAACAATCAAGGTGCCCCATGGACATGGCCACAGGCCAGTCCAATGAAGGCAGTTCCCCCGTTGAGGCTCCCTCCACCCAGGTGTGTCAAGTCGACACTAAAGCATCCAGCACAATCTCCAACCGTTTTCTTCAGTTCCCTTATTTACAAAAGGGTGCCCCTCCCCTCAGCTTGCTTAGAAATGGTGGGATGGCTTCCTACAGATTTCTTTAATGACTCTGTGATGGTTTGAATGAAGACTCTCTTCGGTAGACTCCAAGCATGTGAGCACTTGTCCCCAGTTGGTGACGCTGTTTTCGGACATTTAGGAAGTGCAGCCATGCTGGAGGACCAGGTCGCTGCAGGCGGACCTTGACAGTTCAGAGCCTCCTCCCATTTCCAATCTCTGCTTTCTGTGTGTGCCTGAAGATGTGAGCTCTCTGCTTTCTGCTCCAGACACCTCTGCTGCTGTGCCTCCCTGGAACCATAAGCCAAATACTCTTCCTTCTGTAAGTTGCCTTGGTCACAGTGTTCTATCACAGCAACAGAAAACTGATACAACTAACTAGGTTTTAGAAATTGGATTAATTAAAAAAAATTCAAGCCTTAGATACGAGCAGATTCTAGTTTCATTCTGTTGCCAAGATAACACACTACGAGCTGCTAACAAAGCCTTCTCCTGTGTCCATGCAATGTCCCTATGTAGGTCTGGCCAGCCATTCAAACTCAAAACTGCAGCCCCCAACCTTCCCTGGCCCCTCATCGCTGACACGCCAGCACAGCTAACCCTGACCTCTCCCTGATCTTGCTCTCTAAATAGCAGTCTCTCCACACCTCCCCACTGATGTGACACAAGCAGACATGATCACATTTACTGATCACAGCTAGCTCATCCTTGGCAAGCACTTAGTTTGAGCTGATCACAAACCTCACTCTCTCTTTCCTGCCTCACTCCTGTTCACTGAGCTCCTATTGTGTGCCAGGGACTAGAAAGGTGTTTTACAAACATTATTTCTATTACCCTAACCCCATAAAACAGGTATTACTCCTAGTTTGCAGTTAAAAACTGAAGGTCCTTCAGTAAGTGGTGGGTGAAGTCTGCCCCAGGCCCCAGCGATGACATCAGTCACTTTATAGGTACCTGCTTATGACAGGCTTAATGGGGCACGACAACACTGGAGAGACAAATACAGATCCCATGGGCTCATTTCAGAGCAGGGTAGCCTGTTCCAAAGAGAGATCTCCATTATTCCCAGCTCTGATAGCAGCTACACACAGAAGCTAGTCCAAAGTTTATATTAACAAAACAAAATATTTTATTGAAATGTTACAGAAAATACGTATACTTAAACAACAAAAGTTCGTATGTTAAAAAATGAAACTTAACAACCTAACTAGAAACTTAGTAACTTACATATGGTAAAATCCAAAGTAACAAAAACATAAATTGCTTCCACTTGGTCCTTCTGCCTAAAAACAATGTCAAAGATGAGCTGATGAGTGATCCCTAAAGAGGATGATGGCACGTGACAGTACAATTCTTTCACAGGCATCCAGACACTTTTTTTTGACAACCTAAGCCTTCAGTGGAAGGAAGAGCAGGCTTAGGAAGACTGTGGGCAACGTGTTCTTGAAGACCACAACTTTCCAAAGATTCAGACAGATTAGCACTGCAAAATGGTTACTTCTGTGTAACACAAAGTGCTGAAAATCAATCACTTCTTTGAAACCATGCTCACGAAAGATAATTTATTCTGATTTCAACAACAGACCTTGAAAGTCACTTTTCCAAGGAAATCCCTCTTATCAGAGACAGCAGGGACACCAAGCTGCTTCATCTGCAGTGATGCTGCCAGGAAACCAGATGTTCAGTCACTCACTTTAAACTGCCATGTTCTTCAATTTTTAAAATATTAAGTATTATGTTTACAGGTGTGCGTGTATGAGTGAATGCCATGTGTGGGGGTGCCTGTGGAGGCCAGAAAGGATGTCAGATCCCTGTGGAACTCAAGTCACAGGTGGTCATGAGCTGTCCAGTGTGAGTGCTGAGACTCAAACTTGGGTCCTCTGGAAAACCACTGCATCATCTCTGCAGCCCAAATGTCACGTTCTTAAGTCTAAAGAAAACAGCAATAACAAGTAAAATATCTTAAGCTCATGAATTTATATAAAAAACAAAGTATAATCTGCACTAACCCCCAACACTACACGGCTTGCCATTACCAATCCTGAACCCAGGCAAGTGGAAGTCAAAAGCTCCCAAACATCTGGAAACTCAACCCAAGCAGCCAGTTACTTTGTGGGGGCAGGGGGATACAGAGAGGACAGGGGACCGTGGTGGCAGTCAAGGTCAGTCAGCTGTGCTGAGGTGCACGACGATGACTCCAGAACTGCTCAAGGTCACGTGTGCACAGGGACAAGAGTCCACCATAAGGGTCCCTCTGGTCCCAGGACATGGCACGATGGCTGGGGGACACCGTCTATGTCAGCAGGCTCACGTGCTAGCAGCTCCTCTCAGACTGGTGACAGCAGGGCCACACCACGCTTCCCTGAAGCCACAGGACACACTGGCTCCTTGTTAGCTAGAACAACGTGCCCCCTCAGCACCCCAACACTTGGTTGATGATCTCCACTTCTCTGAACCTCACTTCCCATGTCTGCAAACTGCTCTACAAAGTCTGTTTCCTCCAAGTTCAGGTGGGAATGGCGGGAAGGGAGGGGCCATCTTTGTCTTCTTACCCGAATCAGACTGAAGGAACACAGATTCTACAAACAGCCTGAGGAGAAAACGGGGCTGGGGTGCCATTCATCCAGAATTTACAGAAAATGGCAGAACTTCCCCCGACTGGATAAGATCAGCCAGTATTTTCACTCAAACTCCTCCTTTCCAAGAACAATTTTACTAATAGTCACGGTGCACATGCTGACAGAGCTAACTTCAATGTAAAATGGTCTCATGTGAACTTGCCCACATTGGACAGTCTCTGAAAGGCAGGGAGTCTTGAAAACAACCTCTTTGAATCGAATTTTAAGAAAGAGGCCTCAGCCCCTTCGGCTCTGTCCAGTGGGTGAACGCTTCGGTGCCAGCACAAGGGTAATTCACAGGCAGTCTGTCAGTGTGCCCTCCAAAATGACTGCAGACGCCTTTACAGGAGCTCACTATTAGAACTGGCATCCAGGAACTTTACCTTGGAGATTATCCGAGGAGTGAGATGAACATCAGGACCCCCATGAACTGGGTGAACAGGAGCAAGGGTGTGAAGAATGACCACACGTTCCACAGAGCCAGGTTGAAGCTGAGAGAGACAAAACAAATAGTAGGCGACAGCAGCTGCAGCAGACACAGGTACACTCACCCTGGAACTAGAGTTAAGGAGCTCACTGACGGAGGGAAGGGAACTTCTTTATGTGCCTACAGAACCAGCCCAATCTCTTCAAAAAGCACCTGGAACCGGGATCACTAGGGTCTCTGACTGGGCTTGCTACTGACCCCTGACTAGAGAAAGCTGACAAGCTCAGGACAGTGCAGAGTCCCTCAAAGTTGGCATCCGCCATGAACTAAAATGGCTGCGGCCACTTGTCACCACATGTCATGGGAACAAAGGCTAAATTACAATAGTGACAAGGCTGGAGAGATGGCGCAGTGGTTGAGAGCACTGGCTGCCCTTACAGAAGACCCAGGCTGTAACTCCGGTTCCAAGAGATCCGACATGCTTTTCTGGTCTCCTCAGATATGTGGTACACTTACATACATGCATGCAGAACATTCATACACATAAAAATACTTTTTTAAATACTAAAAAAACTAACTTGATGCTGCTAAATTCTTTATTGGAAAAAAAAAAAAAAACACTATTTCTGTAACCAAATAAAATTAAAACACTTTCTAAGAGAAAATTATTTCTTTTTGAGACAGGGTCTCCCTGTAGCCCCAGCTGGACTGGAACTTGCTTTGTAGACCAAGCTGGCCTTGAACTCACAGAGATTCACCTATCTCTGCCTCCAGAGTGCTGGGATTAAAGACATGCCCCACCATGCCCAGCCAAGAGCAAATGACTGAATTTATACATGCAAAAGCTAACAAAGAAAATAAAACAATTAAATCAGTTCCCCAGTTATTGGTCTTAATATCTAATACTTTGGATAAATATAAAATTTAAAAAACCACAATCTACCAGTCTGAAAACTATTTTAACATTTCTTAGGATACCTTGGATACAGTATGCCTGTATCTCTAAAGGGTTAATAAAACCACATCACAATGTCAAATGACCCTGAACAACAGTGAAAATTAAGAAAGCACATTTAACCTGAATATATATAAAGCTTTATGACTTTTCCAAAGTGAAAACCCAATTTACATAAGCAAAGGCCAAAGCATGTTGTCTCCAACTGGGACATTTTTCTATTCTCTATAACTTACAGATTTTTATTCAATGAGCAAGCATTACTCCCTTACACACTGTTTCTCTTCGGAGTGCCCATGAACTCGGGAAGATGATGTGAGAGTCAAAGTCCCTCTATGTGACAGGGAACAAGGCCCAAGCCCCGGCACGCCCACACTGAAAACCCCCCACCTTAAAAAGCACAGCCACCAGCACAGTAGAACTGCACATGATCCCGGTGCTGCTAGAAAACCAGGAAAGCCACCCCTTGGTATCTGGGTGCACGGACTCCAGGATCCCCGAGATACCAAAAGGTCCAGATGCTCAAGTCCCTTACAGTGAATGGCAGGGGCAGATATCCTACATACATTCAACCACATAACTTTTAAATGGTATCGCTAAGATTCCGTATATATCCAATACTATGTAAATGCTATGTAGTTCACTGTTACACTATGTTGTTTCAAGAATAATGAGAGAAAAACCCTGTATGTGCTCAGTTCAGATGAAATTCATTGTGTGGGGTCAGTGGCTGGTTGAATCCAGGGATGCAGACCCCAGAGAGCTGACAGACAGTCCCCTCACTCTGGAAGAGCGAGTACTACACTGAGGCTGGGGTGCATACCCTGTGGTTCAACTTCGCCTCCCTACAGGGAACAGGAATGCTCCCAAAGATAGCCTTCAAAGTAACCTCTAACTGGAATCATCCCAAATGTGTCCAGAGGAACAGATAAGTGGGGTTCAGACACACAATGGAGCGACTGACAGTGGGCAGTGAGAAAACATGAAGGAGCGGTACGTGCTGCCCATTCCACCAAGTGTTCAAGAACAGGTTACACGATCTGCTTCTCCACAGCCCAAACCAGAGACAAGGCAAAGGGTGTTCATGGGACTCAGAAGTCACTACCACAAAGGGTGTTCATGGGACTCAGAAGTCACTACCACGAAGGGTGTTCATGGGACACAGAAGTCACTACCACGAAGGGTGTTCATGGGACTCAGAAGTCACTACCACGAACGGTGTTCATGGGACTCAGAAGTCACTACCACAAAGGCCGGGACAGTGTTTGCGTGGCAGGAAGGTAAAACAAGGAGTGACCCAGATGCTGGCTCGGCCCAGCCTGCCTTGGTGAGGTCTGCACCCGCACTCACCTCGTGATTAATTCCTTAGCAGCACCTTTTTAAAAAATATATTATCATTTTCATTTTATGTGTATGAGTGTATTGCCTGCATGTATGTGAGTGCACCCGTGTTGTACAATGCTGCAGAGGTCAGAAGAGGGCTTCGGATTCCCCTGGAACTGGAGTTAAGGACGGTTCGTAGCTGCCATGTGGGTGCTGGGAATCGAACCCAGGTCCTCTGCAAGAGCAGTCAGTGCTCTTAACCGCTGAGCCATCTCTCCTGTTTACCTTTATTGTACACATTATATATCACAATGGAAAAGATGTAAAAGCCACACACAGAGCATGTACAGAACACAGAACATCAGCATCCGTGTCCTGAGGAAAATGGAGAACAAGGTCCGCCCTGTCCGCGCTGCTGCTGTCCTGGACCACGTTCACCAGCACCTGGCCACAAGAAGGCTGCTTTCGTCACAGCCAGCCTTTCCACATTCACTCACCAAATTCCTGCTGCAATGAAAGTTGCGGTTGTGATGGGAACCAGCGTGGGGTACTTGACGTCATACTCTTCAATTCCGAGGTACCACTCCAGATAGACTATGCAGTAAAACGCAATGGACAGACTGATGAGCAGCAGGGTACCGCCAAAGAGAAACCAACTGTGGAGACAAACACCATGTAAGCATTGGCAGCGCTAGTGAATCAGCAGAGATCCTGACAGCCTTCAGTACCCGATGCTGCCTCTGGGTCTGAGCTCCTGTCTCTTGCCTCTAAGTGCACCTTTTTGCGGCAGACAAGCCTGTAGTTTTGAGTTCCAGCCCCTCTCCCTCAGCCCTGGTCTCCATGTCTGGTGTCTTTGTACTGTCCCTGCCACACAAGAGCACGCAGTCCCAGATCCTACACTCATTGCTGGAGTTGCCCCACACACCATCCTGTGGGACTGCTTCTATCATTTCTCTCATTCAAATACTAAGAGCACCCAATGGGAGGTCGCAAGCCTACAACCCCGGGCAGTGGACCTCCTGAGGACGGGCTGGACTAGGCAGCGCTCCTGGCACCCCCCACCCCCCACGCCCCCCGCCAGAGCGGGCACCCGCAGCCTGGTCAGGAGTCTGCTGCAGCAGACTGTGAGGTGCTGAAGGGCGGGAATGGTCCCACTACCAGGCCCTTCTTGGGTCCTTTGAAGTTCTGGTAGTGAAAAGGACACTTCAGGTCCTCTGCTCTCCCAGCCCAAGTTCTGAACCAGCTGGGAGATAAGGATTCAGGCTGATGAAAACCAAATGTCAGCTTGGTCACTGACAGAGCTGTGGGACGCATGGCTTTGAGGAGTGTAACAAGCCTTTTAACCCCATAGACAGACAGACTTCTTCCTAGGTTCCAGAGCACAAGGAAAACTAGGGAGCACTACCTTGCTGGGGTTCCCTTTGTAAAATGAAAAGCTGAGCAGAATCTGGCTCCTGTAGGCATCTGACTCCCAAGGAGGTGATGCTGGGCCCCAGTTCCTCATCTCAAACTCACTCTGGCATGCCACACCACCAGGAAAAGGGTGAGTGGGACAGGGAAATGGGGTGTTTGAGGAGAGCCCTCCTCCCTTCCTCAGGGAAATAGGGGAGAGGAATGAGTGTTCTCTTCCCCATTCGTGAACGAGCCCCTGTGTCTAGCTGCCATGCCCTGTCACTTCAGTCTCCTCCAAGCTGCTACTGCTCTTCCTGAAGGCCTCTTGAGGACTGTGTCCTCTACATTCCAGCTTTTATGGCCCCAGTGCTACTTCCATCTCGGCTCTCAACACTAAGCATGTCAGCCCGCAGAGGCTAGTTCCGACCTGGCACTCCCCAGCATCACCCCCTTTTCTGTTATCTGGTGGTCTCCAAGTTATTCAGACACGATTCATAACCTCTGTCCCATGGCCAACTCCTGAGACTGGACTAAAGGAACCTCAGCTCCTGGGAATGAAGGGCTATTTGACACCAGGCCTCCTCCCACAGGCCTTCACTGCAACTCTGAGTCACACCCACTAATTGCCCTGTCAGCCGTAACTGCTCTGAAACCACCCACCCACACCACCATCCTCACCCCTCCTCTAGTCCTGCACAGACTGTCCCTCTGTCCTCACAGACTGCCAGTCAGTCTCTCCCTCCAGTGCTCTCCACAGATTAAGACCTTCTTAAATCCAACACTTCCCTTACTCTACAGCACACCTGTCCTGGAAAATCACACTGGAACCATTTCCAGCTCTCATGCACTCTGCTGTGCACGCCCAGAATACACACCTTTTCTTTTTCTTTTTTTCCAGCTTTCCTGAGGTATAATTGACAAATTTAAATTGCATATATACAAGGTGCAATATGAGATGACCTAACATACACATGCATTGTAAAGCAACTACTATAATCAGTGAACACATCCACCCCCACATTACCACTGTGTGTGTATACGGGGGGAGTTACATAGAAGGCACTGTGTGGGCAGGAAAAAAAACACTCAGGACCTTACATACATTAAATCTCCAGAACCTGTTATGTTTATAAGTGAAATTCTGTACCCTCTGGTCAACATGTCTTCTTCTCTGTATCATCAGTAACTCTGACATAATGCCTGGCAGAGACTAAGAATTAACCAGAGCATGTATATGCACAGTTGTGTGTAAAGGTCAGAGGTTAACACTGGGAGTCTCTCACTCTCCACCTTCTTTCTTTTAAAAAAAAAAAAATTTTTTTTTCCCTTTTTGAGACAGGGTCTCCCTGTAGCCCCACCTGGCCTGGAACTCACTATGTAGACCAGGCTGGCCTTGAACTCACAAAGATCTGCCTGCCTCTGTCTCCCAAGTGCTGGGATTAAAGGCATGAGCCACCATACCCAGCTAAAAATTTATTATTTATTCTGAGTATTTTGCCTGCATATATGTAAATGTACCATGTTCATGTAATGCCCTCAAAAGTCAGAATAAAGTACTGGGTCCCCTAGTACTGGAATTAAGGACAGGTGTTACTGTCATGTAGGTGCTGAGAACCGAACCTGGGTCCTCTGCAGGAACAGCCAGTTCTCTTAACTGCTGAGCTATCTCTCAAGCCCCAACCTACCTTATTTCTTTAGACAGGGTCTCTCTCAGAACTTAGAACTTAACCAATTCCACTAGCCTGGCTGGTAAAGGAGCCCCAGCATCCTCCTGCTCCCGCTTCCCTATCACTGGGCTTACAAGCTCTGTGACACCATCCTACTGGCTTTATGTTTTGATATGGGTTCTAGGCTCTAACTTGGGTCCTCACTATGCATAGCAACTGCACCAACTGAGCCGTCTCCCTGTCTCTTAACTGTTTTGAGAATTCATCTAACAAAATATGACATGCAAAAGAAGAAACAACAAAGCTTTCTTACCTATTGGTGTGAAAGTTTTCTTTAAAGGTTTTAAAGAAATCTGCATAATAGGTCACAACAATGGACGCCAATATCCAGAATCCAGAGTGGATGTTAAGCCTTGGGAGGGGCTTCTCCTTTTTCTCAGCAGGTGTGGACGTTTCTGCCAAACGGGAGATTTCAACTTACAAACTTAGCCAGTTTTATGAGGAAAAAAAACCCTATCTTATGACAAATAAATCATGTCCTACAGCCTTCTAAATACCAGAATCTCACCATTATTGTACCAACTCTCTCTGTAAAACCATCAAGATAGGTTTATATTTGGGTCAGAGATGTAGCTTGGTGGCAGAGTACATGTTTAGCATGCATGAGATTCTGAATTCTATCCCAAGCACCAAAAACATACCAACAATAACAACAGAAAGGTAATTTACAATTTCACAATTGCAAATTGTGAAATAGTTAATAGGAGCTTACTATAAAATATTTAATACATTTAAAATGAACACTGGCATCACATTTACACTTTCATAATCTTTTTAAAATATTTTATTTAGTATTGTTATTTATGTGTGTAGTGCCTCTATGTGTGTGGTAGTGTGTACGTGCACCTGTGTTGTGCAATGCCAGACCAGAAGAGAATGTCAGAGCCCCTAGAACTGGAGTTATGGACAGTTGTTTACTACCATGTGGATGCTGGGAATCGAACCCGGGTCCTCTGCAAGACCAGCAAGTGCTCCTAACTGCTGAGTCATCTCTTCAGTCCCATCACTTTCAGAACCTTTTTTTAAAAAAGATGATTATTTTTATTTTATGTGTATGAGTGTATTGCCTGCATGTATGTGAGTGCACCCATGTCGTGCAATGCCGTGGAGGTCAGATGAGGGCTTCAGATTCCCTGGAACTGGAGTTAACGACGGTTCACAGCCACCATGTGGGTACTGGGAATTGAACCCAGGTCCTCTGCAAGAGCAGTCAGTGCTCTTAACCGCTGAGCCATCTCTCCAGCCCCTCATAACCTTTTTGATACAATAACACCACCAGGAAGTATGGAAATTTTAATACTATTTCATATTTCCTGTAGGAAAGTAGTCATGCTAAGGAAGATGTCAAATGTATGGAAGTGAGAAGATGGTCCAATGAGTAAAATGCTTCCTGCACAAGAACCAGGAGTTCAGGTCCCAGCACCCACATAAAACTGGGCATGGTGGTGAGTTCCCGTAACCCCAGCACTGGGGCAGAGACTGGGGGATGTGGGGGCTCAAAGTGGAAAGCAGTAGGGAAAGACACCTAGTCAATTTCTGGCCTCCATATGTGCATGTGCCAGGAGTGCAAGCACACGCACAGAGATAGAAAAGAACCCAATGTAAATGTAATACAAAATGGTCTTGTGATTGTCCAATACCGTTAATACCAAAATATTTTAAATAGGCACCACCAGCTCTTGAGACAGCTCAATGGGGGAATGGCAGACCTCTAGCCCCCAGCACTGCATGGCCTGCACAGACAGTAAGGGGAGTCATTTCCTCCCTCTGCCAACCAAAACGAAGGGCGACTGTGGCAGGGGCTCATGAGGACCACTGGTCTCCAAGCCAGGCTCTGAGATGATCATCGGGATCTCTGGAGAGTTGATTCCTACCTATGTTCTGGTAGACAGCCTCAAAAGTTCTAAACCGTCACGCGTGGGCCCCATGTCGTTCGTGTTTATTTCTGAAAAGCTACAAATAAACAAGGGTTTTACAACATACAGGACCCACAGCGATCCGGTCTACAGGCCACTACCACGATCAACTCCCAGTGCATTCTTCCTGTGCCCACACGGCAGCACGGCACAGTCCTGCGAGCTTCCCTCTGAAAACTACCCTCGGGCTACGATGTCTGCCGTGGCCTGCAGACGGACATCATCCAGTCGACTTCCTGAGCTAGCTTCCTGCTGCCGGGCAGCTAGGTACTTCCATCCGTACCGTGTCGGGGAACTGCGCACACCTGTGTGGGTGCCGGTTTAAGCGTGTTCTTGGAAAACTCCTACTACTTGAACCCCTGGGGAGCGTCCATCTTAATGGGCGTTTCCGGGTAGTTTTCAAAGTAATGGGCTTGTTTCCTCGCGGCGGCCCCCAGTCTCCACGGCCGCCCCCGGTTCCCCTGGGCGGGCACGGCTCGGAGCGCAGCCCAGGGAAGCCTCACCCGGCCCGGCATCGCCCTCGCGGTCCAACCCGGCCTCGGGGGGGAGCAGGTAACGCCGCCGCAGCTGCTCCCGGGCCCGCCGAGCTTCCATCTTGGCACCGTCGGCAATCGCGACGGAAGTGACGTTACTGACTACTTCCGGTGCCTGCTCTCAGGCCCACGGAGCGTCCATCTTGAGGCCGCCCGCGATGGCACGGAAGTGACGCCACTGGCCACTTCCGGCGCCCGTAAGCGCAGGCTTCCCTGTCCAGGTGCTGACCACTGCTCGGTGGCTGCTGCCCTGCCAGCCTAGAAAGGGTGAAGGCAGCCGGGGTTCAACCAGGGCCGCAGCCGGGGTCCCTGCGTCTGCGCTCAGCACCCAGGAAGGTGGAAGGGGTCTCCCCGCTGGTGTCCTGCAAGCAGAATGGACAAGGCCCCAGGCAGCGCCCTGTGTGGTGTCTCTAACAAACTTTCGAAAGTTGTGCAGAAAGCTACCCCAGCAGCATGCAGCCGGGACTGAGAGGACACTACCTGGGTATAATCCCAAACTCCCCACCCAGGGAAGAGCTACATCCTGGTTTCACAACGTGGAAGTATGAAGCCGCATGCAGCCCGACTGTGACTCATCAGGGTCCGTCCCACCCGGGCACGTGATGATACACCTTCCCTTCTACATGACCTGCCATTTGTGCCCTGGGAGTCACGGTTCTAGAAGCAGTCCCCTCCCCCCCTTAAATTTTGCTGTGACAGCTATTTTGGGTGTTCTGTTTGATTCCCACCGAGAGGTGGATCCGTTGAGTCTTGGTGATGCCAGTTGGGTAACCTTGGGCGAGAAAGGAAGCTCACTGGTGCTGTTTCCTCATCTACCTGATATCTGCCTGTAGATTTGTTGTGGTTTAGGGAAGACCACAGGTTTGTGTTCCTGTGAGCCCTCTTCTCCCTTTTTGCGAACACCGGTCCTCTCTGGACTCGGGGAACTGAACTTTTCCTCTATCAATAATCCTATTGTTTATTCTTCCCTTTCCCTCGTGAGTCATGAGCTGAGAAATTCTGTGCTTAATCATTCAAGCGTTTACTGTACCTGCTGTTTGCTAGGAACTGTTGTGTATCATGCCAAGCTGTGGAAATAGAGAGGAGTAAGAACTGACCTTGCACTTGACCTCAGAGACATCAAGACAGTGCAATACAACACTTACAAAAGGCCAGATGTATTTCATTAACCCAGCGTTTTCTGAGCAGATACCTATAGGAGGATGGTGGGGACAGAGTGACGAATGTAGTGGTACAGACAACATCCACACAAGGGCACAATAGAAACACTGCACATGGGGTGGTGGGAGTATAGAATAAAGGGTCGTTTGCTTTCCTGGGACGTGGGAGGAAGCCAGGGGAGTGAACTGAATACAGGGTGGCACATCCAGAAAGCTGCATAAGATGGAAAATTTTCATTAGTCACTAGAGGCTTTAAGAGCATCTATATGTTGTGGGGACTTGTGAAGGGACAGTATAAAAAATGTTCAAGAACGAGTCAAGTTCCTCTAGAATTTGTTTCTGTTACTGCTTTAGCTTTCTGCATCCTTTAGAGCATAAGATCTAAGAGCTGAGCTGATCATATGGCCTTTCAAACCAAAACAGTAACTCTTTTTTCCTGTTGTTTTCTTTCCAGACTCCTGAAGACCGAGATCCATCTCTTCTGTGCTCTCCTTTTTTTTCTCTTCTTGTGCAGGTTAGAAGTCTTGTTAAAAGGAAAGTGTGCTCTTCCCATCTCCCATCAAATACAGACTTCTGTTTGTCTCCTTGAAAGGGGGGGTCACCGCTGGGTCTCCCTTGTAACTGAATATTCCCAAGGGCATCCCAGCCACTCCAGAATTTCCATGGTATGTTCAGGTCAGGTCAAGTTTCCCCTTGGGTGGTTTCAGGGTCTTTGTGTTTAGACCTGAAATCCCTCCAGTTTTTTCCCCTGATATTTTTTAATGGCACTGCTTTTATATTGATGATACTTAAAAGCTGGTTGGAAAAAAAATCCAGCATTTAATGACATCTTTGCCGGGGCCCATTGCATAAGCTCGTTCACCGTGACACCTTAATTATAGATATGTGATACCAGGTTGCTACCAACAAAGAAATTTTCGTTTCCAATGTAATTTCTTGTGGGAGAAAATGAATTTGACTGTGACCTTTACTGGCCTCCCCTTAGCCATCTGGTTAAGTCCACGTGTTTATAGACTACTGAATTCTGTCTCTATTTCTGTGAGTTCTTGGGCAAGTTATTTCACAATGATAAATATCAGTGTATTCACCTAGCAGATACTGAGGTGGAGATTAGTCTTTACAGATATCTTAGTTCCATGCCTTGTGTGGCCTGTGCATCCAGACCGTGCTCACTGCCATTTATTACTGCATTTGTCTTGACGGCCTGCAAGATCGACAACTGTTTTTTGTTTTTGTTTTTGTTTTTGTTTTTTGGCGGGAGGGTTGTTGTTTGGCACTGAGGATTGAACCCAGGGTCTTGCACATGCCACAAAAGTGCTCTAACCATTGAGATGCACCCCATCCATGAGACACCTGCTCAATTCTTAGTCTGTTTCCATGCCCTTGGACCCCAGATCCTTGGCATTCATGTAACTCTTCCAGGAAAAATCAAGCTTTATCATCATTCTCCTCAGTTGACTGGGGGAACAGGCATGTCCCCAATGCCTTGAAAGTGTCTAGCACATAGTACAAACTCCATAACCAACTTTTAGTTTGGCCTGACCTCGGGTAACTTTTCTCCCTTCGTCCTTTCTATTTTGGTCCTGTTCAGTTCTCAGGAGTCTTCCCCTGTGCCGCTGGAGAGAACATGACCCAGGCAGACTGCTCAGTCCCTGGGACTTGGGCTGAGTCATTGGGAAGCCATCCTCTGCTGCTTTGGGATGGTGGCCTGTGAGATTGAGGTGGACTTGGGGCTGTGTGCTGGAAACATGAGGGCCCTGTCTAAGAAGGACACTATGAAAGGCAAGCTACAAGGTCTTCATAGCTTTGTTCCAGCTCATGGATCCTTCCAAGCCCCAGTTAACCCAGTTAAGAACATGCACTCTGGAGCCAGAAGCCTCACTGGCTGTGGCTATCTGTTCTGTCGTTGCTGTCTTTCAACCTTATGACTCTCCCTTCTCATTTGCCTTGGTTTGTTCACTTGCAATAAGGAGTTCAGAGTAGCACCTGCCTCACAGCATGGGGTGAACATAAAAAGTATTAGTGCGTATAGAGAGGAAAATGCTTGGCAACTAAACTTGCAATACATTTTAGCTGTTGTCATTATCCATATCTGAGAGTTCACAGATTCCCCCACACACACACACAAAATGTGTGGTGTGTGTGTGTGTGTGTGTGTGTGTGTGTGTGTGTGTGTATGAAGGTGCACATGGAGGCCAGAAGACAACCTCTGGTGTTATCCTCAGGAATGGTGACAGCCTCTTTTGAGACAAGGTCTGTCACTGGCCTGGAACTTGACAAATAAGTCCACTGGTTGGCCAGCAAGTCCCAATGATCCTCCTGTCTCTGTCTCCCCGGTGCTGGGGTTTCATGCATGCATCACTATGCCCAGCATTTCAACATGGAGTCTGGGGATCAAACTTAGATCCTCATGCTTGTGAGGCAAGCACTTTACCAATGGGGTCATCTCATCCCACTCCTAGCTGTTAATTTGACTGATATGGTTTGAGTATGAAGTGTCCCCCAATGAGCTCATGAGTCTGAACACTTGGTCCCCACGTGGTGGTGCTGTCAGGGGAGGTGGTGGAACCTTTATGATGGGAGGCATATCTGATGGAGAGAATCTTTGAGGTTTTAGCCTGCCCTACACCAGGTCCAGGTCCCATTCCCTGCTTTCTGATGCATGGTCCATGGTCATGAACTTCACTATGCCTTCTGTGAAGGATGGGCTGAAACGATGAGTCACACATAAATCTTTCTTCCATTAAGTCATTCCTCTTAGCTATTCTGTCCCAACAATAAGAAAAATGAGAGTGGTTTTCTGGTCCGTAAAATCCCATGGCCAGACCAATATTGCCCTCTGCTTTCATTGGGCCCTGAGCTGTGCCATTGATTCTCAGATGGGCTGTGAGCACCCGTAGGGAAATTGATGCATGTGGAGCTCTTAGCTAAGTATATGGTACATGGAAGCTGCTCAGTAAAAGTTAACATGGCTGGGTTCACAACAGAAAGAGAAGAGATAAAATGGGCTTCCCACAGAAGGAGAGGGAGGACGTAATGGAAAGAGATTCTGATGGAAATATTTAAATAAAATATCTAATACCTGGTTCAAGTACTGCCAGGTCTGCACAGAACAACAACTGCAAGGAATTGGGACGCAAGAAGATGACCACACGGAGACCGACAACCCCCAGTGCTTTCTGCTGGTGCTGCTTCATGAGCCGAGGACTGAGGTCCTTACCTGCCAAAATTCTATAACCCCTCTTCCAGTGTCAAGAGATGAAACAATGGTGGCTCACGTGTGCTTGTCACTTCACAGTACATCCGTAATGTCATTTCATCTGCACAATTCTATCATAAGGTAAGTATTGTATTGCCCCATTTAAAATGAACAGAAACTGAGGCACACCCAAAAAAGCTAATACAGCCCTTCATTCCAAAAAGAAAGCTTGACTAAGAACTGTCTCACTCATAAAAATGAATGAAGTGTGCGCCTCTTTTCATGCACTTATGTGATCATATCCCTGATGAAAACTAGAGTCATGGCAGGGTCAAATAGACTAACCCAAGCCCAGGCTTTGGCTCTTCACATTCCCACCAGCAGGGGGCAGGAAACGCCGGCTTCAGCTTTTCCACCAATAATGAAATTTTACCATTTTGATAAAAGCTGTGATTTTTAACACTCTTCTCTGCAACGTACTTTCCACATTAACTGGTTACACAAACACACACACACGTAACTTTTCCTTATTTTCATGGATCACCATATATTTGAATACCACGTATATGTTCCTAGTTTATCGTTTCAATCATCTTCACATGTTAAGTCGCAAGCTGTTTCTCACCTTTTAGAGCTGTGATGAACAGCATCTAATTGGGCTTGCTCACCTGAAGGGTCAGAGTGGAAAAGGGCAGTGCACGGACCATGCCTAGTGGGGGTTAGGAAGAAATAGCTCCCCTTGATCTGTGGCTGCACCTTCTGAG